TTGTTGTTATTAAATGATAGAATTCACTAAAAGTATATAAATATGTAATAAATAAAATAATTTTGCGATAAAAATGATAAATGAGGTTTATCTATTTTCAATACATTGGTCACTTTCATTTACACCTGAAAAAACAGTCAAAAAACATAATTTTTGTACCTGGGCCTGTTCTGTACCCGACACATTTTGAAAAGAGCTGAAAAACGTGTTTTTTTGAATTTCTATTTTTTTAAGTTAAACTATTATTTTTTTGGTTTATTCTCTTTGCATTATTTAATTAGATGGTAAGACAATAGAAACATACAAAAATATTGATTATTACTCAATATTATACAGAAATATAAGCAATACTCCTTAAGTGGGCGGGGTTACCCGTCTCTCCCCTATATATATATATGCAATAAAGACAAAAAAGAATAAAAGAAAAGTGAGATTAATGAAGAAAATTACGAAAAATTATTATAATGGCAAAACATCTTACTACACTTTGTATGATTGGTTACTTTTAATGGAAAAAAAAATTAAAACCTGTCTTCACCAGAAAAATATTTTTCAGGTTATTCCTACTTGGTCCAGTGATCAACTTTTGCTTGTGGAACTTGTTGCAGCTATCAAAGTTTTACCCCTAGAGTCCATTGTACAAACTGTTAGAAATGTTTTGAAGCAACCGCCCTCAGTATCACAGAAAGTAAGATCTTTTTTACACCTCATATTCATTAAATTAACCGTAAAAATTCTTATAGATTTTAGCGTCATACTAAATGTTTACAAAATGTTTTACTTTTGTAAATTAATATAACATTCACTCAAAGAGAAAAATAACATCTTTGTATAAGTCTGATATTATAACTAAATTTTTATGTATTAATTTACAATCCTTATGCTTAAAAGATCATGGTATTATTTGATGGTTGCATAAAAGCAAACTGTTAATGAAATTGCAAAAACAGTTATATAGAGCTGATTTTCTCAACATAGTGATATTTTGGCAAATTTGGATTTATATCTCCTAAAATTAAAGAATAGTTATAGTTTGGAATACATGGCGCCAATAATTTTATCAGAATCATAATGTCGTTTTTCAGAGTTTTAGCCTTACAATTGAGTTGCTTGCAGAAATCTAATTTTTGATCACAGTTATAAAAAAATTTTCTTCAAAAATAATACCACCCATTTTTTTCTTTTTTTTTTTTCTTAGGCATTTAAGGACTTAATAAATTTATATAATTATGAAGTAAAAAAATTTATAAATTTAATTGAAATATTTTTAAAAGTAAATAATAACAATAAATTTGAAGCTATATCATTGCATCTAAAAAATGTTTCATAGTTACATATATAATGAAAACAAATGCTTGATTCAAATTTATTGGAAATGTAATAGAAAAGTATCATTATTCACTACTGAAAAACTGGCTAAACTGAACAAATCATAATATTAGCTTCACATTCTTTGTTTAATTTTTAAAGCAATGATATAAATATGCTGTCTTGTGCGCTACCTTAACACAGGTTGTCAAATCTTTCAGCCCAAAATTACTCCATCAATTCCAAAAGAAAAAATTATGAATAAATAAATACACAATAAAAATGACAATCTGCATTTCTTTTACACAGCTTTTTTATTCTATATGAGGAAAATTTCTTTTTAATATAGTAAATACTTCAAGATATAAAAATTGTAATTTTAAATTTGCAGTTTTGAAGATTATGTTTTGAAATTAGGATTTGGTAAAATCGTCCTAACCATGATGCGATACGATCCATATTCAATAGCTACACATATAAATATACACATATAAATATATGTAAAAACTGCATTAAATTTTTGCTTTCTTCTAAATTTGCATTTTAAAAAATACAAAAGAATTTTGAGATTTTAAAAATCTCAGTTTAGAAGTGCTGTAATTCATTACTTTAATACAGATGAACGTTTACGAATTAAATTTATCAACAGCAATTAACACAACAATAAATTTAGCACTTCGAATATCAATGAAAATTTTAAACAATCTTGTATTAAAATGCTTTGTAGATTTGAATTGAATAATCAGTAGTTTCTTAGAAAAATCAATTGATTTAAATCAACAAACCCTGATTATAACCCTACTTAATGAAAACATAAATCAAAATTATTTATTTAATACTTCAAAATTAATCTAAACCAACAAAATTACATAAATAAATTAAGTAAGTAACAAACACAGCAGAAGTATCAGGTAATCATTTTTATTAGATATAGAGGAAATAACAGTAGATATCACACAAAATCCATAAAATAAATTTTTTTACTTATTTTAAAAGTGTCATTGCCTGCAATAATTGTTACAAATCAGAATAAATTACTTAACATAAAACAAAGGGATTAGAAATAAATCTTTTCCCCATTTACCTAAAGACGGGAACAGATTGAAGAATAATATTGACTTACTGATGCTATTACGTTTAAAAAGAACATTAGAATCACTGACGATAGGTCCATGAATTTGGATTTGAATATAAGAAAGCTCATGTTACAACTCTGAGTTAAAACAGATAGTTTTTTTAATTATTAAACTATGTTTGAACTATTTGTTTTATGTTCTTTTCTGATTACGGTCATTTTTTGTTGTTGTTGTCGAAATTGAAATACAAAGAGAAGTAAAAATTTAATTTTCTTTCACTCTTAAAATTTAACATAATTTTTTTTGTATTATTATTTAATCACGTTATACTTAACCTAACAAATGCAAGAGGGGAAAAAAGTATTAGCATTGCATTCAGAGACAAAAAGTATTTCTAAAAATATACTTTCGGCTGTAATATTTTAAAATTTCTGGAATAACTTTGATTCATAAGATAATTAACTAAGATCATACTAAGATTTTACTAAGATAATAATATTTATTTCAAAGAAATTAGAATTAGCCATGATTGATGCATCAAGGATATTTATAAGGTAAAATAAATAATACTTATTGATAGAAGTACAATATTTTTTACAACTGAAGAATAATTTCCACACCACAACTTCAACGACTTTCAACTACAAAATGTACCCATACCCATAAACACAGGATGCCAAGGTTACATCTTTCACATGTGCAAAAAGAGCTTAAAAAAGTTTTAGCAAATTTTTTTTTAAATATTTCAAAGGGAATGACACAGAAATGTTTCTGTAAGCACTATTTTATAGCATTTCAATCGTGATGTTCCAAAAACATGTTTGTTATCACTTGAAGAATTTTTTTAACTTTTTTTCTGAACTTTACGTATTTGCACTATTGCTGTGACTTTGTGTGCTGTACAGGTCCTTATGCATTATTATTCTGCTTTAACATGTTTGATTTCAGGATTCTTCACAACTGCAGTTTTTTATATGCAAGTTTGTATGTTTTATAAGCATAACTTTTGTTCAAAAGATATTGAAATGTGATAAATATTGCATTTCTAGTGATGGTGATTTGTATTCATGCAAAGAATTTTGAGTGTATAATAAAACAAAGTGTATCTTTGGCTTTGAAATTTTTTGAAGTATTTAAATTTGCATCAAAAAATAGTTATGTTTTAAAAGGAAATAGTTTTAATATAAACTATGTAAGCATGTATAATTATATATTTTGTAATGAAAATTTTGATTGCTTTTTTATAGAATAAAATTGGAATTGAAGTTAATACTCTCCAGTTTTTTCTGGCATATATTCAACAAACATCTGGAACTCAGTTGATTGAAACATGGCAATCCCTACTAGGTCTTTGGCGAGATGGTTTGCAAATACCTTCACCGTTAGTGCAGTTTCATTTGCTAAGGTAAAATGAGGTTTAATGTGCAAAATACTTAGGTTATTTTTTTTTCCTTTAAAAATTTTAATGTAGTGTGCCAAATGAAAAAACAAGCACTTTTATTACTTTTTATCTAATAACTGGATTTTCACATTCAATTTGCAATCTTAATAGCTTGAGGAATTCATCTTAAGTGATACAGTGTTGCCTGGCCAACCAAACCTAGTCTTGTAGATACTTTAGTGAATGCTGTATTGGTCAAATATACTAATTAACTTATGTAGACAATATTTTACGTTATGAAATCAGGCACGAAAACAGAACTTGAATGAGCATTTCTTTTTATTTTGTTGATGAATTTCAGTTCTTGTCCCTCAAAATATAAAAGGTAGCTATAATCTGGATATTATGGTTCTAATAATGGTCACAAGAGCAGTTAATAGCTTGTTTCCCTTATTGTTAATTTTACTGTTTTGCTTATTTTGCTCTATCTCTTGCTCTTTTAATGAATCTAAACATTTTTACTCTTAATTATATAACTTATTTGTCCAAATATTAATATAAAACCAAATCCAAATATAAAATTTACCACCCTATTAAAACCATTTATTATTTTATATAATTGATTTTAAAATCTAAAAAATGTTTAAATTATAAGGTAAACAAATTTTTACATCATTTTAAACTTTGTAATTTTAAATCACAAAATCCGCAATTTCAGCTGCATTTTTATTGATTTTCCGAACAATAAAATAAAAAAAAGAAAGAAAAGAAAATTTAATTTCTTAAGGAACCATTTAACCAATGCTGTTCAAGTTTTAGATTTTACCATTAACTATAACACAATTTAAGATTGGGTGAAAATTTTTATGTCTCGTAATTCAAAATCTTTTCTTAAATTATTAATTTAAAAATGAATAAATAGCTATTTTAAAATTATTTTTTATGAAATTTTTCTTGGATAAAGAATTTCCATAATTATGTGAAAAAAGTTTTTGATTTACTTAAATAATTCCAAAGATAAATGAGACTGCTGTACTTTAGGACAGACACACATTGAATACCTATCTTTTCCTCTGTAATATATTTTCACCAACATAAATTTTAAATCAAAATTTGTCAGCCACTTGAAGTAGAAAGTGCAAGCTGTTTTAAAGATTTATCTTGGAACTTCTAATAGAGTTTAAAATTCATTCAAATGTGTATAAAAAGTTAAAAAATTTTTCTATTTCCTACACTTCTAAAAATTAATAATGCCAATCTGCATTACCAAAGTAAGCCAGTTAAGTAGTTGAATATGAAAATAATTAGGGAGAGCTTGAAATCGTATTAAATTTGTGGTTTGTGTTCAATGTGGATAATTGAAGTTTGCTATCTTCCAAGATGATCATTATTCTTCTTTTGAATTTACTGATTAGGAGAAGGAGCTCGAAAAGAGGATAAACTTAAATGTTACTATAGACAACTAGGGATCCAGGATAGTCTGGTTTTTAGGGGACTGGGCCCAATTTAAGATAACAGCGATTGCGCAATGATAAAAGTAACAGTAGGTCTACTAAAAATAATTAACAAGAATCGTGAAATCCCGACAAAAAAAAAGTGATGAAATTATGCACAATGAAACAATTGCTAAGTAGCAAAAATCTCACTGAAAATAATTTACAAGAAACGTTAAATCCCGACGAAATAAAGTGCACAGCGATCACAAAATAGCGTAAGTTCAGCTGAAAATAATCTTCATAAAAGTAAACTTCCAAAGACAAAAATGGTGCATAAAGAAACAGTATAGAGTTCAGTTTCAACGCCGATCCTCGCACGAAACCGGGAGTTTTGATTCAATTTCCTTTTCGTTATTCAGCATCACGAAACTAACATCGTCTTCGTAACTAGAACTATCAACAGCTCTGCAGCTGGACGAAATCAAAATAGTCTTCGTCAGCGCGGTGACAGCCGCCGCGACGAAGGCGATATTATAGCGATATCGTTGAACCGCGAGTGTTGTCTTATATGACGGCCTAAATCTGAGGCATTGCTAGAACGAGAGTCACTCTCGGCAGCTTATATCAAATTTCTGATGCATCGACTAAAGCAAAAGTCAGTATTAGCGGCTGAAATCAGATTTATGATACATCTCCTAAAACGAAAGTCATGATATCGGCCTGCCGATATATGCATTAAATCGATATTTCGCGATGCATCGATTTATCAGGGGTAGAAGTCCTCCTATATTTCCTATTTTTCCTATGTTTTTATAAAAAGCTAAGAAAGCCTCCTATTTTTCCTTTATTTCCTATATGTTTCAAAATTGGCCTATATTTTTTCCCTCTAATATTTTTTTTTTTTTACTATAGAAGACAATTTTCTAGATTTTTCTTTCTCCAGATAGTCATGATCATTTTGAAATTCACTTGTCCTTAATACTGCTTAATGACAATGGGTAAGTGAACACATAAATAGTGTTCTCCCCCCTCCCTATCTCTTGTAGTTGTTTAACAAACGTTTCAAGGTACAATGACTAAGTTAGTGTGTGAACTCCTATTGTTAGGGCCTGGGGAGATTTGTGGAACAACTCCCCTTTTGTCAAGAAAGGTTGAAATAACAGAGAATCAGTAGTAGCATGAATGGAATGTATCATAGAGTATTATTTATCAATGTCACTAAAAAAGTCAGGGGGGTTTTGTGGAAATTGCAGTTGTCTGTCAAACTCTTTCTTTCCTTATCTGCTGTATCTCTCCTCAATATCCATGGGTCACTCATTCTATCCAAAGATCATTCTATCCTAAGACACCTCAAGGTCAGTTTTTTTTTCTATTCACCTGTTTTATTTTCTTCTATGGAAGTAACAGGAATTTGCCCTAACTAATTTTGTCTCCCCCTCTCTTTGGGGGAGTTTTTCTGTCAACCTCCATTGGTTCATATAGAGGAGTGAATATAACTTGTTAGCTGATTGGACCTTCATCACCCATTTTAAATTACCCTTTGGAAGTAGTGAGTGTTGTCATTGACTATACAGAAAATTAGTTTTAGTGCTTTCTAAGCTTATACTACTTTCTATGACTTTTTTTTCTGAGTAGATGGCAAACTAAATTATTATGTTATTATTTTGCTTCAAAATGTTAACTTTCAATTAGATTTCAATTAGATTTTCAATTAGATTATTTAAGTTTTTATTTTATTATGTTTGATTAATTTGTTTTTATATTTATTGCGTTTAATCTGTTTAATTTATAAGTACAAGTAAAAGATGCCAAATCATTTGACACGATTTCGTGATGATTGACTTGATTTAGAAGATAAAAATAATGGTAAAGTTAAAGACTGGTGCCAAAAAGGTAAAGATGAATATTCTGCCTACTGTACTATTTGTCTGGCTACTGTAAACATCAGTAATAGTGGCAAAATTCAGCTTTTGCAGTATTCAGGCACTAGAAAGACTTTTAATGAGAAAAAGGATCAAAAGCGTCTCGTAATTGCTGCTGGCAATAGTGTTTGTTTGGAGCCAGGATCCAGCTCTACTGAATCAAAAAAAGTATGGACTCTTACTTCTGAAGACAAAATGAACAACTATTCCTTTTTATCGCAGGATACTATAAAAGAAATATTTTCACCTGTCTTCCCAGACTCAAATTTGTGCACTGGTATGACCTTATGTTCCACCAAAGTGTCTTATTCTATATCACATGGACCTGGTCCTTACTTTTTGAAGCAAATCACCAACGAATTCAAGAGAGAAAAACGTTATTACTCATTAATGTTTGATGAGACCCTCAATGAGCAAAACTTGAAACAACTTGATGTGCACATTCAATATTGGTGCTCTTGTGATGGTGGTATATCCGAGAGATACTTGGGTTTAGAACTGTTGGGTCATACAACTGCTCTCAACATTTTTAATGCAATAAAATCAATTCTAAATTCTTGTGAAAAAGATTTAGAGCATATAGTGATGCTTGTGTCTGATGGGCCGAATGTTAATAAATGTGTTTTTCAACTATTCGACAACGAAGTTACAGAGATTAGGAAGTATGGATTAATAAATGTGGGCACATGTAATTTACATGTTATTCATAATGCCTTTAGAAAAGGTTTAGCTATTGCAGACGTGCCAACTCTCCCGCATTTTGCGGGAGTCTCCCGAATTTTTAGTTATTCTCCCGCCCTCCGGAATTGATTAAAAAAACTCCCGAATTTTACTGCAATCGACGGCCAAACTCAAAATTACTTAATTTTTCCGCGATTGCGGAAGTTTTGTTTTTCTTTCAGGGTGAATTCTATCCCCTCTTATCGAACTACCATCTGCCTGAGGCGTAGCTGCACGTGCTTTATTTTCCCCTCCTCTTCAACGTTACCCCTCTTTAACACTCCTACTTCACCCGCCCCCTTACACTGGGATTCGTAGGAATCTTCGTGTGAAGTTGAATGCGATGACGTCACATGACGATATCGAGTGACGTCCATACAGGAGTGGGGAAACTCGTACTCTCGATTGTTATAATTGATATTGTATCTTTCTGTTTTTATAGATTTCAATTCGTTTTTTACCACGGTTGGCAACAAACTTGTAAACTAGCAACGTGATATCCATTATTCGCTTAGTCTTCGTATATTAAAATTTTTTTTTCAAGGATGTCTAAGTAGAAACGGAAGTATGCAACCAATTTCAAAAAATCATGTGCCTATGACTTTAGCAAGACTTAATTGCGAAGAGCTAAATCTGCAACTCTTTTTTTATGCATACAGTAGAGAACCATTTATGCGGTATCCAGATAATCCGGGGAAAAGTTCCGCTCGTTTCTCCCGCCATTTTGAACTAAAACGATATGGAAAAAAAAGTGGAAATTGGATTCATCCTTGAAGGTGAGTAGAGGAAAATGTGACAAAGGGGAGAATTTTTTCCTCCGTTTACCCAGAGAAACGTCATTTCTTCCGCGACCTTGAAGATTTTAGATCTTTATTCTCTTTTAGGTCGTTAAACTCAAAGGAGTGGCATGATGATTTCGTTTGCTAGTTTGATTTACGAGGGGGTGGGGAAAATGCATTGCACATGCATATCAGTGAACAGAAGATGAAAGAGAAAAATATATTTATCTATTTGACATCGATTAATAAAAATAAAATGTTTTTCTTTTGAATAAATTCTGATTCTTTGGAAGTGCGGTATCATTCGCAAGTTTTTCTTGATGTGGAATCACACCTGCTTTAATTAAAAATCGCGTTTTTATAAAAAAAAAAAGA